AAAAAAAAAAAAAAAAAAAAAAGTAAGAATCATTTTACTGGGAGGATTCAACATGGCTGAATAGAGGAGGAGCCGCACTGGAGTAGCTCAGAGAAAATCAACTAGAAACACTGGTAACCAGAAGAATGGGAAAGACATACATCCTGATGCCAAAATCAATCTGAAATAAGAGACTTGTAGATCAAACAAAACATAGCCACAGGACTTTATAAAAAGCCCACAAGGCTGCCTAGGAGACCTCTTTGTACGTGTATGGAACAGGAACAATCTTTCTGGGGAGTTCCCATAAAAATAATAGACTGCAACAGCCTGAAAAACTGAAGCCACACAGCATAGATTTCGAATATAAAGGCCACTGCCATTTTTGCCTTCCTCCAGAGGATGTTGCAGCCTGGCAGCAAATTTTGCCAACACATACAAGTGTAAGTGAACAGGTGGCTGCTCTCTGAGGGGATCTATCAGGGTTGGATCTTTCTTTTCTTCTTTCTTTCTTTCTTTCTTTCTTTCTTTCTTTCTTTCTTTTTTTGTCTGCCTCACACTATAGCAGGTAATAAGAACCTCTAATGACATGGTTAGGGACAAGTGAAAGGAACAAGAAGCACCCCTCCTACCCTGCTTGGGGGTGGGTGGGGAGGGATGTGGTGGTAAGAGAGACAGAAACAGAGGAATGGAGTGAAAAGTCAGCACTCCCCTGCTCTGCTCCCAACAGCATGAGAGAGGACAGAGTGGCACCAGCAGAGTGGAACAGAAAATACTATGCGAAGCCAGAAGGGTCCAACTGTACATGAGACAGGGAGCAGCCTTGGGCTCTCTCTGAGGGTGCCACAGCAACTGGAAAAGCTAAGTAGAGACAAACAGGGCAAGGAGACTGAGGCAGGTGGCTAAGATACATCTGGAGTGTACGCCCCACATCTGGAAACCAAGATCAGGCCCTCATCCAGCCCTAATCCTACTGTAGACTTGGCCAAGTTACCCAACAAAGATTTGAGCTCTGACTTGAATACAACCACAGAACTGGAATTTTATTGTTGTTTCTTTGTTTATTTGCTTGTTTGCCTTGTTTTCTTTTTGTTTTGTTTTTGGGGGGAGGCTCATTAGATTTTTACTTTTTTTTAAATGTATTTAGAACAGTGTTTATAGGGTCTGATTACACAGATCAGACTTGTAATGATCCTTCCTGCTTGCAGCCTTCCAAGTGCTGGGATTACAGGTACACACCACCATACCCAGTCTCAGTTGGCCATCTCAGCGCACCGCAGGGCTGGGGCCCATATGGCACGCCAGGGATTGAACCTGTCTAAGCAGGCCCTTTAAACAACTGAGCTATCTGGCCGGCCCTCTGTTTTGTTTTTCTCTCTCTTCCCTCAATTTTTTAATTTTTTTTTAATGTTTTCATATGAGTAAACACTGTCTTTAGTCTCTCTGGTTCACTCTAATATTCTTTGCTTTATCTTTCAATCCTCCTCTCCTGGCCTCTTCTCCAGGTTCCCAAAGCCTGGGAATCATCCTTTGTCCTTCAGCTTCTACTATATTTTTTCTGCATTTATCTCTATTCTTGCCCCATTCTTCTAAAATCCCCCCCACACACACATACAAAGTAAAATCACTCTAGTAAAGGGAAACTCACTGAAGACAAGTTCCAGGTTTTTGTTCCATTTTGTTATCTATCTCTAGATCTTGTTCCTATGGCCAAAGGTACCAAATTAATAGTTACCACAGTTTATCATTGTCTAGGCTGCGCTTGATGTTATTGATTACTGCTAATTGTACTACTTTAGCCAAGCTGTCCTACCTGCTATAATCAGTTGTTCTGTTCTTCATGACAACACTAGAGTCATAAGC